GATTACCTTTGATTAGACCACTCAGTTTGCATACCTCGTCCTCTCTCAATCAGATCATTCCTGTTGTCTCGTAACAGCATCCAGTATTGAACTTGCTCGAGTCCCACCAATTTCTGAATTTTTTTCCTGTCATATTCGAGTCTCATCGCTGCTATAGGAGCATTTCTTGGAAGTCTTAACAATTTTCTCGCAAATTTAATTTTCGGAGTCTTGATTGGTCGGGGACAAAATGTTCACCCCGTTCAACTTAGATGACATCACGCACTACGTTCTTGGAAAGCTCTCATGTAATTTATTTCGGGGATTTTAAACAGCTTCATCATTCTGATCTGTGCTTTCTTTCGTCTCGTTCGACTCGTCCCCCAACCAGCTCCCCATTAAAAAATTATGGCTAAACGTAAATACTAAGCAGGAGAAACTTTGTATAATTTATATCCTGCCGCTCGAAAGAACCATCTCTCATTCCTTCTGTTCTCCCGGCTAAATATGACGATTTCCGTCTTGTTAACATTCATCTCAGGGCCCCACTTCTCAGTGTGCTCTGAGAGCACTCAATGCTCGCTTTTGAGAGAAGAGAGCGAAGTAATCATCAGCTAACAGTAGGCATGTGACATCCATAATAAATGCTGTTTGGGATTTCGGCACTGAGGAAACATCATTGGCAAAAGAAGAAATAGAATCGGCGACAGCAATCGTGTCTTACTCCAAAAGCAGTTTCAAAGTTTCCGTATTGGTCCATGGCCGAAAGCATTGGTTTGTGCCCATCGTACATAACTTGAAAAATGGGAATTTGTTTTTGGGAATCGCAATGTCCCTCAGTTTGCACAATTATCCCGGCAAAACCCTATCCGAATCGAATGCTTTCTTCTGCTCAAATGCCGCAAAGAGTTTCTCTTACTACCTCTAATTCTCGCTGGATAAATGTTTGGAGGACAAAGGAAATCTTTCTTTCTTGAAGCCGAATAGACATAACGTCAGGATGTTGTGCGAACTCCATCTAGTCAGTCTCCCGCAGAGTATAGCCGTGAAGATCTTAGACATAATGGGAAGCTGGATAATACCGTTATAATTGTCCGGATCTGTTGTAACGCCCTTACTTTTGAAGAGAGGAACAATTACCTCTCTTTTGCACCTATAGGAAATATGTATTTTTGTCCCAGATTTGATTGAATAGCAGAATCAATACTTCCAGCCATTTCCCGTCCAAGTTTGAAGGCCTCTCCAGAAATATCTGCTCCTTCCTCTCTTGGGATCTTATGGTCTTTCAGTATTCCATTGCTGTCCTCGACTTCCGCCTGGAAGAATTCACGGTCGAATTCACATTCTGTGGTTGTGCTCGTTTGTTTGCTGGACAGCATATCCATGTTCTTCCTTCTCAACTTGTTGAAGGAATGTACAGGTGACTCGTTATACGCGGGGGTTGCATTCCCGCGAATCGCCGTGTATTCGAAAACGCGTAAAACGGGAGGCTAGTGAGATAGCGGTTGGCTATAGGGATAGTGCTAAGTTTCCATGCACCGAAATGTAACCGCGGATTTTGCGATAAACGCGGATAACGAAAGCGCGTATAACGAGAGTCACCTGCATGTCCAAGTTTCTGGAAATGCTGCCGCCACAGCTCCGCTGTAACACCTTCTGGGCTCCTGCAACTTATTGCCTTCGATCTGGAAGCTCTTCCGAGATATTTGAGGCCCTTAGGTGCAAAGCAGAGTTTTTTTTTCCATTCCTTGGATTTTATTTGCACTCATGAACATTTTGCGACCTTTCAGGGTCGATGATTGCTCCTTCCTGTCCCAGACTGATTATTCAATGTCCCTACTTACTCCAGGTGTTTCCTCACAAAGGATCTAATTGTCATACGTCCTGCTGGAGCTTGCTTCCCCTCTGTCCCGGATTCTCCCCTGTGCACCCTATCGTGCTTTTAATATCTTCATCCACTTCTTCCCCACAGAGAGCTACTTCTATGGAAAGACGATCTTTGATTAGACACACCATTGTTCCTTCTCTTTGTTGAATCTTTGTAGGGACGAGCTCCTTCCTTTTATATTTGATGTTAGGTGGGAAGCCCCTAGCATCCTGAGTTTCCGATTTCCTATCTCTGGAGCAATGCTTATTGCTCCTGAGATAGGGAATACCGTAGCTTTCGATTACGGTAGCTTTCATCACCCTGGTTTTGCTGTTTATATCTATCACTTTGACGATCACTCACCGGACGGGAGAATATCTCCAGTTCTCTTCCTCATCAGAAAAATTTCATCGATCCGGATTTCCTCCTCTCGCCGAGGAGTATTCTCAGAAAAGGCCTGAACTTTACTTTGCACCTCCTTTTGACGTCGGTTCTCCTTCTCCTCTCCTACCAACACATACTGCTTCCTCAACAAAACTTCCATGAGGTCTAGCCTCTTCCCATGTCCACAAATTCGATGTTAATAACAGTTTCCACAGTATGTGATTCAATCTTAAAACATCGTGATTGATTCTCTGGCACTAGTGGCGCATGAAGGTTAGTTGTATTGTTGAACGGTTAATGCCTGACAAATACTTCGTTCTTAGGAGAGGGCTACTTGGCCAGGACTTGAAATGCATAGGAGAGGAGGCACGTGTGCTCACTCGAAAGTGGGCTTCATTAGTACTGCTGCTTTTCCTTTTATCATTTCCCTCTCTGAGATCCTTTATCTAAGAACGAGCGAAGATCTGATGCGATATTTGAGACCTGCACATGAGATTCGAAAGACCCCAGGACACCCCAGCCTCCATATGGTGCCCTTAGAACCTCCATCCTTATCGATTGCCGCCCTGTCAGGAGGATGAGGAAAAGCTGCTCACCTTCCTATAGCGACTCTACGAAGTTCCCCGACTCCCGACTGTCATGAGCGACAATATGGCGATCTAAAAATGGTCATGAACTGGAGATCATCAGGGAGGGATGGCTGTAATGTGAACGCATCTAAGACGAGGTTTTCAATATGAACTGAACTGAGCTTTAGTGCGTATACAGATGCGTTACCCTCGCATAATGACATCTTTAACCCTTTCAGTCCTAGCGGGACTCAGGAGTCCCAATTTTTTTTTATCGTATATTTTGCAGGGTTTTATAAGAATGCACGGGCTTGAGACCTCCAGGGATTTCTAAGGCCCTGTGACCTCTTTTGGAATTTGTGTTTTTGTAGTTAATGACGTTTCATTGTGGACAGTTGAATAAGTAAACATCCTTTTTACATCACTCATATTTTAAAATTCAGGACTGGAAGGGTTAGCAAAACCCGACTCGTGTAGAGAGTATTCACCGATTCATAATTCTTCAACGCGATCCTTTCGCGAATCGCGCGTTATTTTGTCTGTGGTGTGTGCGTCATAGCCATTCATTGAGGACGGAGACGATCGTGAAAGCCGTGCATTCGCCCCCAAAAAGGTAGGAGTCGATATAAGGGCGATCATTTGGGAAGATGGATTCACGAGGAGAAGATTTGAGGTTTATGTGCATCTAATCATCTTCAAGCTGATTACCTGTCATGACGTGTGGATCGAAGGCTTGGTCATTGACGGAGAAGATTGAGGAGAAGCCGCATACCACGCAGAGGAACACGGAGAGATCGATGTTGGAAATTACCAGAAAAGATGGAAAGAAGATTTCTTGGATTAGGGAACAGACACGAGTCCAGGTCATCATGCATGCTATCAGGAAGAGCAAATAGACCTGGTGGGCACCTGGACACCTGGCGCTAACGGGAGAAGAATGATGGACGAAATTAATTGTGGAATGGCAACCAAGGGAGGGAAGACGCCGAAGGGGTATAAAATAAGAACCGATGAAATAAGAGGTTTTGAGGAGGTCAAATGACTTGCAGTGTCTCAGGATGAGATGAAGTGGCGTATGTATGGATAGGCCTTCGTCCAGCAGTGGATAGAAAGTAGCTCATGGTGATTAATTTACGGAAAGAACATTTTAACAGATGATCAAAAGCCTAACCACAAAGGAAGAGACAAGTTCTCAGCATTCGACTCCTCATCGACAAGAAGTTCAAGGGCAAAGAAGGGTTTGTCGGTCGCAATTGCGAAATTTCAGTATTTGGTATTTAGTGGGACTCTCAGGATCCGCTCTGCCTAACTCAAGGTTTTCCATTTCAACGTCTACCTTTGTTACCCTTTCAAAACAGTTCAAAACTGTGTTTCAAAGCACAGATGGAGTGACCAAGTTGGCTGACATAGTGTCCCTCGCCCCCCTGACCTGACGCTCTTGGATTTTGGGCTGTGGAGTGTTTCTTCTACCTTCCCGTTTGTGTCGTAGTTACCAAACGTCGATGTGACCACCATAACAGTTGATGTAGTTGACCCTTCCATTTCTGATACACTGTACCAAAACTTCACCTACTGGCTTAATGGCATAGAGTATGCACGTCTTAATCTCATGGGTGTTACTTCTTTGGGCACTCGGTGGGCTGCACACAGAAGATCTGAAGAAAAGCCAGAACCAAGTATCCGAGGGAGTCGGGTCAGGAGATGGAGCACTCCAAAGTCCATCGAACCAGCTTGATATCCATCTGCTTGGGAAGGTACACACCACACTAAAGCTGGGAACACTAACTGGACACCTGTCCTACGTGGTGAAAATTGTAATGCAATGTGAGAAACTTGAAGGTGTGCACATCATTATGGCTCTCTTGCAGGGCTTCCCGCTGGAGAGTTTTGAGTTTTTGGGTACAGGAAGACATCGTTACGGCTATTACATACGGCTCGTATTTTGTGGCAGTTTTAACCCTGTATTGCACGATGAAGATTTAAGGCAACATACCAATTTTATTGGCTAAATAGCCTCTATTGACCTCTTTTCATCGGCAACGCATGGTATTACCTCGAGGCAACGAATGTAAGCTTCTGTCATTCCGACAGGCAGCTTAAGGGTTGTATAACAGTCAATGAATGCTTCATGTTTCCCATTAAGGACGGCATGAAATGTTTAAAATGTTCAACGGCAAAAAGAAAAATGTTCTTTCTGCAATATGAGGTTAATATCCCATTTATAAAGAAAACAAAGCGCTCCCCTGAGCTTCTGCTTACATAATAACCTCGTCTCTTCAGGCTCATTTCTTGGAACTCCAAGCTGCAATCACAGCGAATTGTATATCTTTGGAGAGCCCTCTACCTCTACTTTGATCATCTACAGGAAAACCTCATATATTCGAAATTCAGGGGACCAAAGAACGCGGACTTCGAAATAAACGGGTTTGAATTATCTGATTAGCCCATTTTTACTCAGTCAACAGGCAACATAATCATGCATCACGATATCATGTAATATCTTTTGCTCAAGTTCTTGTTGTTTCTTAAAAAAAAAAGAAGACATCGTTGTTTGTTTCATTTTTTTCCCCTTTATTGCTCATGAACAAATTCGCACATTCTGTCCATTGCCTGTATCACACCATGCGGTATCGATCTTCGATTTTTCTTTCTTGTACATTTCACAAATAACTTTCAAATTGTTTGAAACACTGAACTCGTTGTACCTTCTCTTGTTCACCATGGCACATTCAACCCTGCTTTGCACTCGCAATACTGTGGGGAAATAGCAGCTACTGTGCGAGGTTTCTGACTTATGGTCACGTGACGTGTCGGTGAGAGGGGGTAAGTGAAAGGGAATTTTAACCTATGTTTAGAATTCTTCGGAATGGAAAAGGGAAGTTTCCAAGAAGGCAATCAGTTGGCATTGCAACCAATTGAAGTACGAGGTTCGGGACAGTAGGTCGTCTGTTGGTGGTAACGCTCTTCGAAGTAAACGAACATGAGTTTATATCTCACAAGACCAGAATATACCTTCTAATTTTAAATGGTAGGTCAATGCCCAGAACATTCTGATGACCTATATGCTTCAACATTAGATATGGAGACAGAACCATCCAAGTTAATATTGTATGATTCTGGACCCCAAAAGGATGTGTTAGAAACTGAGGCAGTGTCAGATGAGACTTTACTGAGTAATAAATGTTGGAAACTAGAAGGTAGACATAGAGCTTCAAAGTCTTTGATTGACTTAGTTGTTGATAGAATGAGCTTCATTGTTGAGCAAAAGGCACAGAAGCTGAATGGTGTTACAAAATTTCAGACTGGAGAAATATAAATGGAGGAACTTTCATAGAATGCCTTCCTCTTGTCAAAGTACCAGGAGCTCAGTAATGGGAAGTATTTCGATTTTCTATTTTAGGAAGCATACAAATCACTATCCTCTTTGACAGGGAACGCCGACGACTTCGAAGTACCCAATACTTCGAACTATCCGATATGGAATTAACGAGGTTTCCCTGTAGCCTATATTATCAATAGATCGTAGAAGAGAAAGAATAAACGTCGGGGGAGGCCACGTGCACCCTCTGCTGGGGCAGCAGAGGGTGCACTCCCCCCCCCCCCCCCCTACGATGCTGATGACAACTCTTGCAGGAGCATCGACGGGGCAATCAGGGAATTATGAAAAGGTCCTTCGCACCCGATTTTTTTTGGTATGGCGTATTTATTTATCTCCATGTGACAACGGAGTCTCCTGGTCAAATTACAAGAGTTGGCAACCATAGTGCAAGTGTATGTGTGTGTGTGTGTGGGTGGGTGTGGAGTGGGGGCTCGGGCAATTTCATCACCCACACTTGATAAAATTCTCGCTACCCCTACTGGTTGAGTCTTAGGGAGGGGAAGAGTATTCAAGGCGCCAAAGGGGTCAAGGAGATGAATAATGAAGAGGAGTCCACTGGATATCAGACATTAATGAAAAAGAGTTGCGCCTGCATGCGAGCGATTTCAGTCCATGCAGTCGGACCTCCCGCTCTCCTTGGTCGTACATATTTTTTCTAGACGGCCCTGCTGCCTCTGCTTGAGGCCTCCAGCATCCCTTGACGTCGTTGGGGCTGATCTATTCAGCTCTCTCGCAGTTCGCTACTTCCCGCTGGCAGCTGCTTGCCCGAGATTGACATAGTTTCATGACGTGGTCGTGTCAAGCGCTGATAGAAAGAGTTGTCTTTTTTTGCTAGCAGCTGCGGGCGACTGGAGCAAAAGAAGCTCCCCTGCTTCTGCAGTGGACAGCTGACAATGCAATATGAAGCATGGCCGCCCCCACTCCACCACGAGTTTACCCTTCTTAGTGCATCAATAACGGACAGACCCAGTATTTCTGTATCTGGCTTGTCCATTCTTACGGCACCGAAATCGATAGTCTAGGCTTTCTCATTGATTCACAGGCTATTCTAGCCGACATTTTTGCCCGAGGCGCAATTTGTTAATTCACGTGAGCTTTGCCAGCTCATGGGTCGGGTGATAATTTCTTAGTCTAGTGAAATTATGTAGGACTGAAAATTTTACGTTAACTGAGGAAGCACTGCTTGGTATTGCCCTCGAGTAAGCATAGGTCTCGCTTCTTCCCCTCGAGTAAGCTTAGCTCGAGGCCAAGGACTATTAGGCGGGCTTAGACTTCTCTGTATAGTGTTGAGTCTTCCTTTTATTCTTTTTTTTCTCTCTCTGGGCATAGGCTTGATCATGTTTTAATGGAATCTACTGCCTTAGAACAGGTTAGGCCTTATCTTGATATTATGTACGCCACATTTCATCATCAGGCAGATCGTTTCAAGTCTTGAGCTCTCATATAAGTCTGAGTTAAGGACCAGATCATGCCCTTTTCTGTGGGAATTGCTTATCATAATTTTGCTGACTAAAAGAGTCTGTGAAGCTTTCAATGGATAGCCTACTAATTTCAACTCAGCTCTTTCATTGCAGTTAGTTTGAGAGAGGGGCATTGATCGTTGAAGTCAGATTATGAATCTGTGTAAGTCAGTAGTTCCCAATCTTGATCCATAGATTACTTTTCAGATCATTTCTTATTTGTGAGCATCATAAAAGAAGTCTGAAACATATAGGCTGTCCTAAAATGGAGAAGAGTTTTCATGGCATGCTGAGATAGCTCTGGGTAGTCAGCTGTCTCACTAATCTAGAATTCACTCTATGGCACCAGTAGCATATGAGTTTCCAGCATTACCTGATTGTTTTATTTTTATTACATTCTACTATTAATTCCTTTTCCTATATTCATCTACTAGCAGAGGTACACAGCATTGCACAGGTGAAAATTGTATATGTCCCATGTTTGTCTGCACTAAATAAGGTACCCTGGGGCAGGGCCAGATTTAGGGGCAGGTGACCACCAGGGGGAAGATGTTCCTTGCCAGGGGCACAATTTGATCTAGGGCCGGCTCTGCCCCAGTGGGTCCAAATTTTGCAATGCCACCTAGCCTATGACCATCACTGGACCAAATGAGGAAGCCATGCAAAGTTTGGTTGGACTGGGGTCAGAGGCATAGCCTTGCATAGAGGACAGACAGACAGAGAGACATACAAACATTTGGAAATATAGCATAGATTATTCTTGCTGTTAGACAGTGGCTTGCCAACCATCAATCAGTTTTCCTATAGTGGGGTCTCCCTCAAACATTCATTGTTTTAGTGTCATTTTTCTAATAGTAATTAAATATTGAGTAGCTAATGACTTCTACTGAATGTTCTGTTGTTGGGAATTCTAATGGTTTTGTTATTATACAGAAGAAAGAGCCCTCCGTGAGCAGGGCCCTGAAGCAAACACACATGGAGGGTTTCTGGGTTATAATGTCATGGGTATATAGCTATTAAATTGGGTACTTCCCAGATTTAATTAGTATAAAACTTTTTATAAGTTACTTTTGTAGTTTTGGTTTGATTAGGGCAAATTTTGTAGGAGACTCTCATAGAAGAGAGACCATCAGAAAGCAATTGCCATTGCTAAGGTATACAGGATGGCACAAAAGTCAGGACCCATAGGGATTTTGATTAATAATAATAAATAATCTATTTTTTGTTATTATTCTTCCCACAATTCTCTGATCAATTAGAGGCGTCTCTGGATATTGTTCATTAAATTCTGTAGCAACTGATTGATTTGAAGCACCTTGCCTTCCATACATTAAAACCAAGTCAATTTTTTTCTTTTCCTAACCTGGTATACTTTAGGTATGTAAGCCTTTTGTGAGAGAAGGGTTCTACAACACTGCTGTATCCAAGTAGAGAAAGGCTTGGTTTCCTCCAGGCTGGGAGTTTGAGCCCCTCTTATGCTGTTATTTTCTTTTCTGCTAAGGGTTGTCATGTTAAGGATGATATTAAGTTATAGAAGAACACAATGCACTCCCAAAGGACAGTGGGTGAAGGAAGGGAAGATATGGGCAATTGTAAAAGAGGATTGACCCTGTTGATAGACAGCCAGCAGTCGGGAAGCTGCTCTCTTTTTGATATGTACAGTCAAATCTCAATATAATGCCACTGTTGTTCATTGCTGATTTTGATGCTGGGACGACCTATGCTATGGCCTGCAATGCTATGATGACCAAGACCCTACTGAATAAGAGACAAGAGACTCTGTGCATTGAAAGGATGGCATTTAGCTTGTAACACATTGCAGATGGGTCATGTAGAAAGCCATGATTGTCCATCTCAGATATTTTACAACAAGTTACAAAAACAACCACATTACTTGAGAAGGCACATCTTTTTCACACAAGTACATTCATACATATGCACTAGGGAGTAGTACCTTGCACATCAGTGAGATGATGCCCAAAAATGTAGTTCTCCATGTTCCGTCCGCAATGCCTGCTGGCAAAAGCATGGAAATTCTCGTGATCTGTCTACAATGTGTTAAGATTTCTGAAAGATTGCAATGAACATGATAAAGACCACAGTAAGTGTGAAAAATCTTAACTTATTGAATTTTGGGAGTATGAATTGAATTCCTCTAGTATATATTATGCCTATTTAATTATAAATGATTTGATTAAAATTTGTTTAACATTTTTTAGCAAGCATCAAGTACATTATCAGCAACTAGCAAGCATGCATCAAAGTCAGCAGTCAGCATGTATCAGGCAAGGTGATGGCCCTGCTCATCCTTAGGGCTGAAGAGATCCCCTTTATGTATGAATATGATTGCATGACATGGAATGTGACTCATAAAATGTAACATATTTAGCAAATTGTTTAAGTTTAGTCTAATCTCTCTGTTTAGTCTCAGTCTCTGATCTCAGTCTCAGTCTCTAATCTGTTTAGTCTCAGTCTAATGACATTTCTTTCTTACATGGAAAGAATAAATTATGAAGTGAAGTAGTTCAAATTAAAACTGAAAAGCCCTCGAAAATCTCGGAACTTCGTGTAGCCTAACTTCCAACTTGTAATTTTTGAGACCCTGGACTGTACAGTGTCTAGGATGTAGTCGGGGAAAGAGTACTTGCATTCATTTTAGCAAGTCAATGCTGAAACTCTGGATCTGGAGGGCTTCCCTCTATCAAATGAGATGTCTGTTTCAAGAGCATGGTGCATCTTCAGAACGTGTTTTCGGGTAGACCTCCCTCTAGCTTCAGCCTGTGATGCCGTCACTGTGGCGATGCGGTGGTGTTGGTTTTGCTATTTACTGGAGCAATAGAAATATATGTCAAATTGATTTATTGATAATTATTTGCATAACGTGGTTAATTGATGGAATTTTCACCTCACTCAGGGCGGATGTCCTGAATGAGATGAGCCGCTGAACTGACGATAGTATCACGGATGATGCACAATACAGCGACACCAATGTGGAGAGATGTCAATCCGAAAGCACTTTAAGGATAGTGTAAGCGTGCTTACATTCTCATTTACAAACATTCCGATCCATCTCCCAAATCATGCCTACAGATTTGAGACGGCGGTCGAGTACTTGAAGGCAAGTATGGACGATGAACACGATGGTAGTGATACAGAGGTTAAAATGTTACCAGTTGAGGAAATGGAAGTTCATCCGCAGTCGAAGAGGAGCAGCAATGTTGGAGCAGACAGAGGATGGATGGCCACTTATGATGAAGATCGATGTGAGTCGGATGCAGGTCGCTGCTTATGCCTTCTCTCCAATTTTGTCCAGTCTGTCCTCTCCCTCGTATTGTGCCACTAGTTTTTTCTCAGTGCGCGTCCATAGGCCTTAATTCCTCAACATTATTGTTGAGCAGTGTTGCGAATCTCTCGGCGGAGTCATACCTGTTGCAGTTGCGGCCTTCATTTGTTCGCTGAATCGAAGAGCCTCCGCAGATAGACTTGATTCCATTTCCAACCTTTTACGAGATAGTGCTAAGGGGATAATTTAATAACGGGATATCCTTTATCGTCTTCTATTCGTGTTGTCAGAAGCAGGGATCTGTCCAGGTCCCCTGTATTGGCCTTCCTAGATGGTGACAAATGGTATTCGATTCCCATTCCATTATTGTTCCGCATGCCATGCTTGCGCTAATTGCCCGCGGAACCAAGAAAGGATCTCATAGTGCTTGGCCTTGTCGTGGCGCTCTTGTGGCTTTCATGGCTCTTTCAGTCAGTGAAGTCGACCCTTTGATAGAGAAAGAAAGGGCATAAACCTCTTGTTATCTCCCTGACAGAGTTGCACATCGGACGATCCTATCGCGGTTTATCCCTGATGCACACGAAAACTTCACCTCGGGTGGTGACTGCGGTCACCGAGCAAATCCGTTATCCCCATTCCTGTTCTTGGTCCTCTTATCAAGTCAATCTGTCTCGTCCAACGCCTGAAGTATTTATGTTTCGGAATCAGGTTGCGAAATGCATTGAGAGACCAAATAAATCAATCTGTACTGCTTACTTTCTCCCGTGCTAATAAATTTACCGGTATGACAAACTTAGCTAAATTTCCTGTGGAGAATCAGGCAGTCTCGTTTGAAAGGGTGGTCGGGGAAGATGCGGAAAAAGGATTTTTTCATTCAATATGCTGCTCTACATCTTTGGAGAGGAGAAATATACTTAGCAAAAAGACCTTTACCTTTGTAATGGAGTTCCTCGAGAACCTTTTTGAGCTCTTCTGTCTAGTCTGACCCCTGAAAGCTCTCCCATTGACAGAAGCACTAGCGCTCCCTTCTGATTGTTGATTCCCTTGTGTAATGCAAACAGCGGGGTTTGGCCAGAGTGCTCGCTGCGAGCTGCACAAAATCCCCTCCCTCGAATTTGGGTTCTTCTGCTGTGCGGGAAAGGCTACAAATACCACGTTCTTTCTTCACATCTCATTGCAAGCCGTACTTGTCGAGATGTGCGGATATATGAGGTTGTCGAGCGACGTACGGAAAATGTGGTATGGGGAAGTAGAACCAAAAAAGTAGACACAAAAATCCCTTAGGTACAAAGCAGAGTATAGCCGATATAGAGAGTTCAAGCCGTCTGATTTTCCTTGAAACAGTCTATTGGATGCAGTTACTGGAGGAAGAGATTGTCTGAGACAGTCCGGGGGGAGGACGTACAATAGGCGCGATACCTTATATTCCCTTTTTCTTCAATCCCTTGTAATGTCGAAAATCCTCCTTCTCTATTTCCTCTTCGGGAGCATTCGGAGGACATACCCCATGCCTTCTGGATAAATAATCCGCAAAGGATGAAGTTCTTCCTTGCGTATGTGTGGAAGATCTCATTGTTGACCTGTACCAATTTTTCAGTGCATATTTTTTCCCCCACCGGAGTAGCCCTACCTAGGAAGTTTTTGAGAGATGACATAAGCAAGAGAGGTAGAGGCACGTAAAACAAGACACAAAGCCCTTTTGTTGTTGTAGATGCAAAATTTATTGGTGAGAGATGAAATTAAGATTTTTTGGTGGTGCTCCAATGCACAACCAGCGCCGTCACCTCCCCCCCCCTTTTCCAATTACCGGATATTATCCTGCTATCGAATTTGATTAGTGGGTGATCCTGCTTTCTTGTCGGTGCGCGAATCTTCCATTCGTAATTCCTGCTTTTGTGCTGAATTAATGGAATTACGTGAGACTAACACTGATTAACGGCGGCCGATCGATGTGGCCCGTTATGGGCTTACCGTCCCCGGACATCCCTGATTGAAGGCAGTCATCGTCGATTTGAAATTTAGAGACAGTCTGCCCACTGATGTCCTCTTCGAGATGGTTCGAGATACTCGATATGCACCAATCGCAGGCCTAATCGACCCATAACTCGATGGTTGAAGTTTATTTTTATTTTTTTCCGAAAAAATGCAGACCTAGACCTGAAGACAATCTGGCATGGGTTGAACCTTGGCCTAGTAAGCCCCAACGCCTATTCTGATTCTAATAAATTTATCTGAGCGGTCATTCATTTAAGATATAGAACACAGATATGGGTATGCAAGGTGTTCATATTTAAAGGCAGCGCATTAATCATCCAGCCACCCGCTTATGGAATTTGTCCATGTACATTAAAGTGCCATGGACCAACTAATTGGAGCTCTGTCGTACTTTTCCTTTTGAATTTTTGGTGGAATTGTGTGCTTCCTTAAAGCTATTCAACTGGGTGAGCTTAGTGGCATACCTATGCCTCTACGGATGGGAGGCTGGATTTGTGCTGCGTTTAAATCCATACACCGTGTGTATGCATGTCGCAGTTGTCTTTATCCTTCATCATTATTCGTCTAGATGCACCATACTGGCTACTAGCCAGTCGTTGAACGGGATTAGTTGAATTCGACCCCTCCTTTGGACTGTCTAACTAACTTTTATGTAGGCTACGCATGTACAATATAACAGACATGGTTTTCGGAGATCACATTTAAACTTGAACATTGGGGTTCCCGTGCAAAAGGCTTCCTTAACTCGTGAATCGTTCCAAATCTGATCGTGCGGACTGGAATTATTCCTTGTCCGATTTCTTGCTTCAGACATAAAATCTGCCCGGTGAACAGCGCTTCGTGTGGATCAATACCCCATCGCCTACGACGACAAAAGGCAGTCCAGTCATAAGCATGCTACAGTGTCTCTCTGAGAATCGATTCTCATTCAGAGAGGCGGACCTCCCATTTTCCTCGTCTTCTTGCCCTTGGTCTTCTGAGCCTCAGATCTACAGTACCTTACCATCAATCAAGAGGAAAATATAGGCTTTTCTCCTAAGTCTCTGGTGTTGCGATCTCAAACTCGTCTCGATGTGCGGGCCGCTTCGTCTAGGTCGGACTTCTCTTCGGGCCAAAGTGAAAAAAGTCTGAAGGTTTTCCCTGATTGTGTGTAATGGGCCTGAAACGTTTCTCTCTCGATGTCCGCAAGTGGGTCGCGGGCCGCATGCGACCCGCGAGACACGAGTTTGAGACCCCTGCTATGGTGGATCTAGCTTTCAATGACCAAGTTGTATGCTGTCATTATAATGTCATACTTCACTCTTTGGGTAGAAGACAGAAAAGGGACTTGTTTGAAATCTGTAGGTCTTCCCAAACCCAGCTTACTTAACCAAAATTATCCAGATTTCATGCATTCACCCATGAACGAAACATAATGTGAGAGTGTGAGTCACATCCCGACTCAGAGATAACATGTATATCCAACAGAGAATGGAAGAAAGAAGAAAGTTTTGGTCTTTTACTGTAATGGGAAAGTTATGCACTTTCAGCATCGCAGAATCGGATAGCTCTTCTGCCTTCTTTTCTCGATGAGCTAGGATCCACTTTCATTTAATCCTTATACTCAGAGTGAAATATATGAAAAGTTTCTTTCCCTAAAAGTTTACTAAGTTGAAGGTGAATGGCAAATAAAATGAATTTTTTTCGTCCTCGTAACGTCTCAGTAATTATGCTTTCCAGGAAAACAGGAAATAGATTTTTTCGCGATTGTAGAGGAAAATCCACAATGCTTTGTTCCATTTCTTTAGTCCTTGATTGAGACTGTAATGAAGGGTATTGCATCACATAGCTTGGCTGTCCCGCAAATCACGGCGTGAATATAGGCAAACAGATTTAACTTCGGTTTGGGAAACCTCCCCGAAGTTGGAGATCCTCCCTATCATGCCTGTACATGGACAGTTTGGACAAGGAAGTATGAAGTTTCGCCTCGGAGAATGAGAAGAGTATCTCATTGCGTCGGAATCATCTTGAATCTTGAATGTGCCTCCGCCCTTGAAATTGATCAATCGCACCCAGCCAAAATAAAAACAAGAATCTAAATTTAAAAATTTGGAAAGGGAGAAGCCGCACGTTAATCGGAAGAAATCAAGCTGACGAAACGATAACGACAATGACTGACTAGTGAATGAACATAGCCTTCACGCTCGCACACATGTGAAAATACGGGACACGCAGACCGTGTGGAGACACTGGTCTGAAAAACAGGAGGAAACAAGGCCAGGCTAGATTTGCATCCATTTGAGTTTCAGCAAGGGGACATGCATAACATAGATTTCTCTGGAGAGGCGATACGTATATCAGCGCAATATACTCGTATCTCGATCTGGGGGGGGAGTGTCGCGAATAGGTCACAAGGGGATAGGTAAGACGCAATAAATCTCTCCGGCCTTACCAAGCTAGTCCGGTTAGCTGGTCTTTGGCTTAGGTGCAAGCGGAGTTTTTGAAAGTTCATGAATCATTGCTAATAGGTTCATTAATGTGCCCTTTAATAAAAATTTAAGAATAGTTTAGGCGGTATCCTCATGTGTAGAACTAGATTCTTATTTTCCATCACGTTTTCTGGGTCTGGTACGTGATTTATGTCAATTTACAGTGACCTGTAAATTGGAGGGAGAGAGTTATTTTTCTTCGTTATTGAGGTCGCAAAGGGATCGAGACATATTGACATGTCTATAGACGCTTTGATAGAAACTTCGTTCAATTTTCCACACTTATCAAAGAGAGCATCAATGCCACAGTTAATTTACCTCCATCTCTGCCTCAAGTCTCTCTCTCAGAATTGAATGCTTATGGTATAAAATTGTCAAAGCAATGATGCTGCGAATACCGAAAAATATTCGACTATAGATCAGTTTGCCTAATCCCGAACGTGTAACATCGGCTATGCCATTTCGTGAGGAAATTCTGGACGAAAGGAGATGCGCCATGGAGTCCCGCTTTGAAAATTCTTGGGGGAATTCCCTCACTTCTCTCTCTGGGAGAGGATTGGCATGGACCCCGATAATTCAAATCAGGTTAGCAATGAC